AGTGATGTGTCCAAAATGTATAGACAAATTGTGATCATCATAAATATCAGAGAATACTGTGGCGGGAAAATCCCAAGGATGAGTTAGAAATTTATGAACTAAATAGGGTTACGTATGGGAACGCTTCTTCTCCATTTTTGGCAGTAAGATGTCTGTTTCAACTAGCATATGAAAATCAAAATAAGTATCATGAGGCATTATTAAAATTGCAATCAGACATAAAGACAATTCTAGCCACCGGAGGGTTTGAGTTAAGAAAATGGCTTTGTAATAAAGGGGAGTTGTTAAATAAATTTAAAATAAATAAAGAGTTAGATGTTAGTGTATTACAAATTGGAGAACAAGAAAGTAATAAAACTTTAGGTGTATACTGGAACGCAAATAAGGACGTAATGCAATATAAAATAAATAATGAAATCAATCAAGTTAAATGTACAAAAAGATATGTATTATCGACCACATCTCAATTATTTGATCCGTTAGGTTTATTGGGTCCTATAATAATAAATGCAAAGTTGATCATGCAAGAGTTGTGGAGGGAAAAATTAGATTGGGATCAGAAGTTGCCTGAGCGTGTAGAAATTAAGTGGCGGCATTTTAAAAATGACTTAAAAGAATTAATCAGTTTAGAAATTCCTAGACAAGCTGTCATCTCCAACAGTAAACGAATAGAACTACATGGGTTCTGCGATGCATCTGAAGTGGCTTATGGGGCATGTATATATGTTCGATGTGTTTTTGTATCTAATAATAAAATAGAATCAAATTTATTATGTGCCAAATCAAGAGTAGCACCAATAAAAAGGGTAACGTTACCAAGATTAGAACTATGTGGCGCACTTTTGCTGGCCAATTTAGCAAAGAAAGTGATCGAATCAATTAATTTAAAGGTTGACCAGTGTTATTATTGGACGGATTCTATGATAACATTGGCCTGGATAAAAGAGTCACCGCACAGATGGAAAACATTTGTTGCAAACAGAGTAAGTGAAATTCAGACACTAACAAATGAAAAGCAGTGGTATCATGTGAGTTCGGGGGAAAATCCAGCGGATTTACTATCACGTGGAACGTCCACTGAGGTATTAAAGAATTCTGAGTTATGGTGGTTCGGTCCCACCTGGTTTAAGATTGACAATAGTAATTGGACAGTAAATGAAATAAATACCAGTAGTGTACAGATACCTGATGAAAAAACAGTTAGTTTGATTGCTATACCAGAGAATAACGAATTAATAAGTTATCTACTACACAAATATTCTAGTTTAATAAAATTACAAAGAGTTTTTGCATTAGTGTTACGATTCATAGCAAATATAAAGGTAAAAAATAAAGAGCAACGAAGTGTTGGGGTTTTATCACCAGTAGAACTGGAAAATTCATTGCATATTTTAATAAAATACGTACAAAGGCAATGTTTTTCCCAAGAATTTTGAGAATTAGAAAACGGGAAAAGTTTATATAAAAAAAGTAAACTACTTAGTTTAAATCTATTTATTGCTGACAAATTAATGAGAGTAGGTGGTAGAATTAGACATTGTAACCTAGAGTATAATAAAAAATTTCCAATTATTTTACCTAAAAATAATACATTAACAATACTTATATTACGTGCTGAACATGAACGTCTGCTACACTGCGGAGTCCAGGCCTTATTGTGCTCCATACGCTCCAAGTACTGGCCTCTGTCGGGCAGAGATTTCTGTAAAAAAATTGTAAATTCTTGTATAACATGTTTCAAGGCCAAGCCGAGGGAATGTAGCAATTACTTAATGGGCGACTTACCTGAGGTCCGTGTAAATAGATCTGCTCCGTTCACAAACGTGGGTGTAGATTATGGGGGTCCGTTCCAAATAAAAGATAGAAAGACAAGAGGCGCTAAACTAGTGAAGGCATATCTCTGTCTGTTTGTGTGCATGGCAACACGAGCTGTTCATCTAGAGTTGGTGTCCGATTTGACCACGGACTCATTTCTTGCAACATTAAAGCGATTTGTCAGTCGGCGAGGCAAACCTAATAACATTTTCTCGGACAATGGGCTCAATTTTATAGGAACAAATAATGAATTACTTAAATTATATAACTTTTTAAAGCATAATAATGAAATAATATCAAACTATCTAGCTAATGAGAGAATAAAATGGCATTTCATACCTGCCAGATCTCCTAATTTTGGTGGGATATGGGAAGCAGGGATAAAGAGTACAAAGTACCATTTAAAAAGATTGTTAAATAGTCCTCTCCATTTTGAGGAATTTACAACTTTTAATTTGAAGGTATCCTCAATTCCCGGCCCCTCGGTCCTCTTAGCCAAGATCCCGATGACCTGACAGCCTTAACTCCCGGCCACTTTCTGATTGGAAGGGCATTAACAAGTTTGCCTGAAATGAACCTGAAGGAAGTTCCTGAAAATAGACTGTCTAGGTGGCAGCACGTCCAAGCTATGACACAACACTTTTGGACCAGGTGGAGTAAAGAGTACCTGAACCAGCTCCAGACTAGGGTGAAATGGAAAGTGCAGGCACAGGAGAAACTAAAGGTTGGTGCTTTAGTATTAATAAAAAATGAAAATGCGCCCACTCAGTGCTGGAAACTAGGAAGAATTTCCAAACTAAAACCAGGCAAGGATGGAGTAATACGTGTGGTTGATCTTAAAGTAGCAGCCGGCGAACTAACCCGTGCTATTTCCAATATTTGTGTGTTACCAATAGACTGTTAAGCAGAGGATAGTGACGCCAAGAAAAATAAATAAAGGGACTAAGAAAGGACTTAATTAACATTAAATGAAGAATGCTTGTGTTGCAATACTCCGTATTGGCAAGGCGGGCGGTATGTTAGTGCTCTTGTGCGAAATGGGCCCTAGTGGGGAAGTGAAGCGAAGCAAAAACAAGACGGCGTAAATGATTGAGTGACAGAAGATATATGTGTCAAGGTTCAAGAGACTCGCGTTAAATGTAATCATTAATTGTTATAATCTATGTATGTACAAGTAAAAATAAATCTCATTAGAAACAAATACAGTCCACAATTGAAGCAACATATTTTTTAAATATTATTTCTTTCAAATGTTGTCCTTGACTGCGGTTGAGATGGTCAATTCTGAAGTTCCAATTTTCGATGACACGTTCGGACCTTTCGAGTGGAATTTGACGAATTACCCGAGTAATGTTGGCTTCCAATTCCTCAATCGTATTCGGCTTATCCATATAGACTTTGGACTTCACGTAGCCCTAATGGAAAAAGTCTAGAGGTGTGATGTCACATGATCTAGGAGGCCATTTCACTGGTCCAAATCGTGAAATTAACTGGGTTTCAAACTTCTCGACGGTGTAGCGAATTGTGCGTTCGGTGGGCCGATTATGTAGACCATATGTTGCTATAAGAGCACGAAATACATTCCTGGCAGAACGCTGATTCTCGTAGTACAGCTGAATTATTTGTAGATGTTGTGCCGGGCTAAGTCTTTCCATGATGAAATGTCAGACAGTACTGAATCAAAATACCACGACAGTTCACTAGACTCATGCGTGATCTGTCTTAAACTCGCTACTGAAAAAAGTACCTCTAAATGAAACACCCGTTATTAATGTGTTGGCTTGTCCATATAAATCCCCAAATAAGTGTTAGGGAATTAGTTAGAGAACTAGGAATTTCTTATGAAACACAAGTACTTTTCTCACACAAATGACATAATCTTTCATTTGTCTCTTTTAATAGGACATAGCCTGCCTCGTTATGGAAACAGTAATCAGATATTTGGAATTAATAAAAAAAATGAAACATTGCAATAAACAAAATTTTAAAATATAACAAGACAAGTTTGGTAGTTTTACGATTTAATTTTAGCTGGAACTATGTCATTGTTATTTATGGAACTAAATAAAGGAGGATGTTCTATAACAATTTCACTATTTTAGCAATAACTTTAAAACGAAAAAAGATATCGACCTCCGGTTTGTGTATTTGTTTTCCCTTACTAAATGATCTATCAAGCCATGAAAAAAAACCTATATGGTTGCATTTAATTTTTTTAGTAAACGGAGACAATTACAAAACTTTTCTGATTAACGTCGTCTACCGTTGCGCAGGAAAATAATATTTTTATTCCCATAAAAAAAAAATTAATTAATAGTTCTTTAAAATGAGCCGCCGTTTCTTGAAATTGATTGAAGCATTTAAAAGTTATGACAATTTAAAAATTTCAAGATGACTGGTGTTGCTATGGTAATAACAAAAAAAAAGTTCACACAAAACTTGTGAAGGGTTTAATAGTGTATTTATATTTTAATAAAAAGTGTATTTTGAACTTGGGTTATATAAGAGAAATTTCGAAAAAACCATAATTTTCTGTAACACTATAGCAGTTGCGTCTTCTAGCGGTGAAGTTACAAACTTGAAAATATTTTAAATCAATTTCTTTTGCCGTATTTGTTGATAGACTTTTTACCCCATAATCATAGCACGTCTAGTTTCCTATATACAGCCGCTCTGTACCGTCAATGGATCACCCTGTATATTTAAAGAACTATAAAAAAGTTTATGTGTATATTTGACCTTAAAAATAAAAAAATATGTATAATTTATATTTAAACTTCCATTTTTTTCATCTCTGTTTCCATTGAAAATGGTTCGTCATCATCTTGGTCATCAGTTGTCCTTTGACTAGTATTTTGGTCTAACATTGTATCATTTAGTTTTTTACTATGAAATAATAGATTAAATTCATCTATTGAATCAATTGGTGTATCATCCCTTAATAATATCTCCGACTCCTCATTTTGGTCAGCATCAGATCCTGTCTTGTTTTTATTTCTCTTGAACCGTTTAGGTATCATTTTTCCAAAGTTCATTCCTCCAAATTTTTTCTCATTCCCTTTATTTAGCACAAGTCCTGAAGGTCTAGGAGATAAACCCTTGAAGAAAAAGAATATGATACCAGGATTGGTTTTTACTCATACTATTAAAGTAGATACCATAATTTCTGTCAATGTTTTTCCTCTTGCATAACCACAGTCTCCCCTACCAAATAACCACCCAGGAGCCGTTCCTTCAGGGTCTTGGAGTAATATTGCATTTCTAGAGGCAGTGTATAAAATTCTTGAAATAATAACGATTAGTATCTGGAACAAGACATATTTTAAGAAATAGTACTGTGTTAAACAAAACTAAATGTCATTTGAATTAAATACTAAAAGAATTACATTGCTTTTTATCAACCTTACTTGTTTGATTAATTGATTAAAAGACTATTAAATTTTAAATATTTACTATGTGCTATCTATATGTTACTACTTGTTACTCCAAATAAAAATTTATTTTATTTACTTTTCTATAATTTATTTATTTCCTTTCAAATCATAATTTTGTAATAACACTATTAATTTTTTATTATGTTAACCATAAGCTGATAAAGGGTAGACAAAAATTGAAAATATGAAAATATTCATTTTTCACCTTTCAGTAAATTATTAGATCACATTTTACATGTTACATATTTAATTTAAACTTCAATACCCTTAAAACCTTTGGAGATTTTTGAATTAGAGATTTACATTTTACTTTTGGCCGTTCTATAAGTTAATAATTAATTACACTTACATGCAATATAAATACAAATGTTGTAAAAACCACGAAGAGATTAATAACAACTAAAATGGGTTTTTTTATGCCTTCCACACAACCTTTTGTATTAATAGAATCTTTTACTACATCAGGCTCATCAACCCATAGGTGAGCATATTGTGGTTGTTGTAAAGGGTCATGCAGACACTGCATGGGAAAATTAATTCGGCAACAGCTCCAAGGGGTTACAGGTAGATGTAAATTATCTTGACTGCTCCTAAAACTGTAATTGATTTTTTAAAATTTTATTATATGAATTCTGTCATTTTGTATGGTTACTTTGTGCAAATAACTTGAAACAAATAATGTTGAATAACATTTAGATGTTAATAATAAGCTTTGCTCGAAGAATGGTTATAAACCATCAGGCACATGCACTTTTGCAAAATACTTTTGAAGAACATCAAATCACCAACGCTGACAACAAATTTGGTGTTGGTAGAAAGCAACAGATTAGTTTCCAATCAGTTGGAAGTGAACAGAATAATTCCCAACAGTTCAAGCAATTTTTGGTTTGGTACGTGTGCATAAGTTCTGTACAGTAGAATATTTTTTGGTCTTGCTAACCTATAACTTGAGTTTATGTTTATTTACTTTGTTAAACACGTTATGCATTGTTTTAATTTAACTAAAAAATATATATAAATTTTTCTAATCAATCACATTTCATTAAGAGTAGTAATTGTATTAATTATTAATATTAAATTCCTATTTGTTACGTACATCTAGGTATCTAAAACAATAAAAAATAGAAAATAAAATACAAAAATTCAATTTAATTATTATTTTTTAAATATAATAAAATAATTTCTTATAATAATAATTTAAGAATGTGTTTGTTCATTTGGTTGTGTAATTTTTTTGTCAGCTTTCATACTTACTTTTTAACAGATTCCGAATCTACATCGACATGATATTTGGTTAACCAAGTTGTTTCGTGCCAGTTTTCATAAGAATCTATTCCACAACATTCATTACTATACTGAAGTTTATCAATTATTTCTTTCCAAGATTGATCGGTTAAATAATGAATTATTCCAGTGCCTATGGAGTTTCTCATGGATTTAATTATCTGTTTACTACTTTTTCTCGCAAAATGAGATATTACTATCAAAATAACTACTGTATTTGTACCTGCACAGTTCCATAATAACAATAAGTTACTTGTACTTTTTCTGAAAATAATAATCACTAATAACAAATATTTTAAATTTTTGTTAATATTCCATATATATATAGAAATGTACGCAGTAACATACTTGTGAGCCTGCTGAAAACACTTGTTACCAATTTTAATTCCAATTAACCAATGAAAAATTACGTGAGTACCATAAATACCAGTTACGACAAATGCAAAATTAATTTGGGCTTTTTCTGTATGGAGAACAGGAGAAACTGCAACAAAAATGTAAATCGAGGAGCTGGTCATTCCAAAGCCCAGCAATATTTGGATTATGTTTAATGTTATAAATATAACATATAAGTGTTTCCTTTGTTTTTGTGTTAATTTAAACATTCCCACAGCCATTATGTATAAATATTTATAAGCTCTTTTGGAGGATGAGTGATGACAACTATGACATTTTTTTCATTGTGACACTAATTTACCTTAGTAGAGTAGTCTAGTAAATTAGTTTCAGTTAAAATTATTGTAGTTTTCAATAATATAATATCAATTAAATAAAAATGTAAATTATTTTTAAAACTGCATATTTTTTATGTGCATTACAAAAAAATCTGTTGATAAAATTAAAAACTAGTTTTCCATAACAAAATATTGACTGCATATTTTTAACACAGAAAGTAACAGTATTAATACCAACAATAATTTGTTATACAGAATGCAGACATATTCTCAAAGGAGGATCATACATATCATGTTTTTGCGATACCTTACAAGTTCTTTGAGATATCGAATTCAGGACTTAGCTGATTATATTATTTATTTATTTCCTATTATCGATTGAAACTATCTTGAGTTTTCGGAATTTTTATTGCCTCCCTGTGTCGTGGAAAAAAATATCTTCCTCACTAGAATTCTGGTATCGGTTATGTCTATCATGTGTCCTATACCTGTTTGTGCTCCACAAATTTTTCTACTTTATTATTCAAGTGACACTTGAACCTGATATCTCCTGTTTGTCCGATATATACTTTTCTAACTACAAATGCAAGGGATGCTGTAACCACCAGAACCTTGGAGTAGATCATTTTTACAGTTCATCTTGGGAAAAGCTGTTCTTGAGATGCAGATGGTATTAATTATGTTTCCTTAAAAAAGTCTTGACAGTATAAGCATCTGGTTCAGAATCCAATTTTAAACAAAAAAAAAAACAAAATACAGTTTTTTCTATCGGAGTGTAAAAAAAATACTTTTTACGGTTTTTTAGAAAATCTACCGTTAATTTACAAATATTGATGGTAAGACTCATGTTCCGAGAAATTTTTGCAGCTCTATGTATCCAAAATAAACCTGTAAATTGTTAAGTTGATCCATCCAACCGTTTTTCTGTTACAAATCATCAAATTTTTGGAAATAAAGGAAACTCATTGCTCTTAAACATTATGTAATCATTGTAAAAATGAAAAAGAATGTTTCTTGACTTTTCCCACAATTTTACATTAGATATTTTTTAAATTTAAAAAAAATTTCAAAAATAATATTTCAAAAATTTTTGTTTTTTTTTGGAAGTTTCTAGACATTAGAAAAAACAATATCTAATATCTAGTAGTTTCTGACATGATTCGGCCTTTGCATACCTAATTATACTAATCTTTATTGAATTGAATTGAATTAAATGCAAAGATGATACCCTAAGCTGAATTTCATCCTCAATTTATATGTAACATGTTCATAAGATTGATTTTCGGTATTTTTTAAAATTACTCTTTCTTTGATAAAATAAAATTAATTAGTCTTTGTACTTTATTTTTTTTTTCAGTAATGATAAGATATCGTCTTCTCAAGTGTCCGCAATTTTTCCAAATGGAAAAAAAAATTTTGGAATATTTTCAAAATTTTTTGAAGATATTTTGTCACGAAAAATTAATCTTCAACGTATTCGTCCAAATTTTTCTTAATTTTTTATTTAGATTTCTATGTTTATTGAATTGAAGTGAAGAATTTATTGAAGTGTCATTAGACCCTGTAAAATCCACCTATTATTTAAACTATTACCATCACGCATTAAAACAAAACATTATTTGTTTTAATCCCGTGCCCATAGTTATTTCTAGGTTTCTCGAGTGCTCAAAATTCAATTTCACAGGGTCTAACGACACTTATAGTGTATTGAATAAACATGGAAATCTAAATAAAAAATTTATATAAAGTTGGAAGGAATACATTGAAGATGAATTTTTCGAAACAAAACGTCTAATCTGGTAATCAGTATTGGAGGCCATGAAGGCTTGCACAAAATGTAATAAAATATATAGAGCCGTATTTAAATAAATGAAGTTGATGATGGTCCTGGAAAAATGAACCGTTACCTATAAAAATTAATTATGCCATTCAATAGAGGGCAAAAAGTTGCCACGAGAAAGTGTTCTTTTTTCAATATCACCTCAAACAAGGCTGAAGTGAAACAAAAACGCATTGCCAAAATTTCGTTTTTTTTTCCAAAATTTCAAAAACTAATCATGTTAGCCATGATTTTTTAGAAACACGTTGTCTAAGAAAATATGACCATGGGAGATCAAGTGGCTCAACATGGAAAATCGTACGCGTCACCATCTTTGCAATTTTTTCCATAAGATTATCACTATTCCTTCTCATGATTCTTTAAAAACTACTTTTTTACAGCGTGGTAATGTTCATTCCAGAGATATTAGATTTGAAAACAATTTCGCGATGCCCCATCATAGAACTGCTTTTTTCAGAAGATGTTTTACATACAACACTATTACATTTTATAGCTCCCTTCCTGATGATTTCAAATTATTTAACATCAACAAATTTAAATATAAAGTTAAACAATATTTATTGAGCAGGCAGCATTCTACGTAAATTGTTAACGTGATTCCTAATTTGATACTTAATTTTGTTGTGCTATTCATTTCTTTATTATTTTATAAACAATAATACTCATACATATTTAGATACCTATTATGTTCAGATGTTTCTGTTTGTATTGCAGTCATTCTACTTTGAATTTCAAAACTTTCTCTTTTATTATATTGCTTACCTTATGGTTGAGTGGAATAGCCTTGGCTAGACTTCGCCATAAGTTAGGTTGAATTATTTTCTGATATATGTGTTTGTATTATCGTAATTATATGTCAAATAAAGGCGATTTATTATTATTATTCTTATTTAAGCTAGTTCGTATCTCTTACCGTTTCCGAGATCCCTGTAGTGAGAAGCGAATTTGTAACAGCTTGTATTTACAGGGTGTTTCAGGATTAACTCGACATCAGCTTACTTATATGTCCTTACCTAATAATCATGAACAAGTCTATGCCATGAAAGACTAGCAAATATGAGAGAAAAACCTGAGACAATTTTTGATTAGGATAAAATATTACAATCAAAAATGGTACCAGTTATCATTTTTTACAGGACCATACTACATTATTTGTAAAATTATTTGGTCCCCTTAATTGTATCTCCTTCATTGGTGGCTAGTAATACTTATTAGTGACACATATAGTGACATACTATGTAATCATAATCATGTCACACCAAGTTTTACTTAATTTCATTATTTTTTTAGAATGCCCTGTATTTCGAAAACGAATCATTTTTGGCCCTATTTTTATATACATATATACTTTTTTACGTATTTTTACCTGGAAAATTTGTCGACTTAATCCTGAAATACACTCCCCTTCCCCCCTCTTTCTCAGGGTCGGCAACCCTCACTCCATAATCGAAATTCTCTGTGTGCATAGAAATCATCTTCTAAAAAACGATAATTACAATATTTATTTTTGCTCTATTATGTTTTTTTATATAGATTTTCATTACTTTTTCTTAATTTTAAAAATATTCTAGGCACATCAAAATAAGTAGAAATATTTACTGTTAATTAACAAAATAGCAATTTTATTATCATTGAAAATGTCAAACATGGGACATTCATCAAATAATATGTAGTCACTATAATTTTTAATAAAAAAAACTCCATAGTTCTAGACATATAAAATTATTTATTCTGTCTTTGTTTTGTTATAAACGCTTCCACATGATGTTTAGCTATTGTATAAAGTACAGAGTGTTTTCTAACCATGTTGTTAAGGATTGCTCTTCTATAACATGTTAAAAGAGATAAGTCTTCTTCGGGTGGCTGTAAGAATAACTCTAAATTACCAATGCACTAAAACAATAAAATGTCATTTATTAGATCTAAACCATTATTATATCCTGAAACAAACCTGTTCCGGAGTAACATTAAATATTTGGACAATTCCCATATATTCGGACCATAGTGTTTTTTTATATTGAATATTGTGCTTTTGAGCAAGAGGGACAAGTATTACATTACCAAAGAGTATATCACCATAACTAACTCCTTGATACTGTTCTAGCAATTGAGTATAGAAATCTTGAAAATTAGCTAAACCTACAAGATATGGAAATCAATCATGTTTTTATTTTTATTGTTCATTTTGTTAACAATAAGTAATTTCATAGATTCAGAGCCAAACACCAAGAAAAGTTTGTATGTACAGAGCCTTCATAAATGTTTACAAGCGACGTAACCGCTGAGCTTAGGCAACCCAACATTGAACAATTGATTCTGGTAACAAAAATTCCCTAAATCTTGGCATCACCAATCTTAATGATTTGTTTCCAATGAACAATGACAAACCATTATATGGGATCGCTGATTGGTTAAATAAAATCTCGTGAAAAATTACGCCAATCACAGCCGATGAAACAGAGTACCTATATATTGTATCTTATTGTTTTAATTTTACTGAAATTTATTTGCCAACGCGAAGGGAACAAAATTACTGTAAAGTAAAGTACATATTTATTACAATTTATACAATGTCATGAGTCTGTGAAAGAAGTTGACAAACACACCACCTAATTATCCCAGTTCCATGAACAAACACTCATTCACACTATACCACACATTCCTCTAATAAAATTTAAAATTCACATTAAAAAGCACTTATCTATATTCAAATTCAAACATTGAATATGGTTCTAAATGACACAGAAAGGCACGCAAGGACTTCAAAAATCTCTTTTTACGAGGTTTCTATTTTTTAACACTCTGGTAAATGATTATATATTTTTATACATTGGTAGAGAGTCCCCCGTCAATGACTGCTTTATTAGTTTTGGGTAAGAATAATCATCCCGAAACCTAGTACCATGTTTATGATGTTTTTCACATCTTGCAAATTCATTCTCATTATTCGATAAAAATTTCATATACTCATAAATGTATATGGCTGTTAAGGTTAGCAAAGAATTTACTCTAAATTTTCCGCGACATGAGTCTGTAACCTTCATGTCAAACATTAATCTTAAGACTCGTTTTTGGCATTCAAAAATCTTGTTAGAGTTTGAAGAGTTCCCCCATATAATATAACTGCTCCAAATCTAATTACCGAATAAAATTTGCATAATACAAAGTTTTTAAAGTATTAATATTTACTTGATTTTTTATAACTTATTGCATAAGTCACAGTGGACAATTTACTGTACAAATAATCAATATAATTTGCCCATGTCAATGTATTATTTATATACAGTGTATCCCGTTTTTCAGGTTTGGAAATGTGAGAATGCTGTGGACTTTCCACAAGCCTATTTTTTTACAAATAGTGCCTTGGTGGGAGGTTATATTCTACTAATCATTTTATTGATGTGACGAAAGCCTGGCCTACTACGATTTTTTAAAAAGGTCGTTTTTCCAGAAAGTAGTATTAGGCATTTTTTTATTAAAAATGTTTTATTAGCAGGCTATTCAACACCCACTAAAATACCCCTATACCAAATTTGAACGACAAATGTCTATTGAGTGTTTTTTTATGTGGTGCCAAACTTGGAAAAATCAGACAACTAAAAATTATAATAAGCAGGTCAAAGATTGCCATGAAAGTGAAAACGAATACCAGTCGGACAAAGAAATAATATAGTTGCTTTAAATTTAATACTTTTAATTATATTAATTCATTATTATTAATTAATTATAAAAATAATAAATAAAATTTAATGAATTATAAATACTAAGTTGTTAAACAAAAAAAATTGCAAAACGTTAATCTAAATTAAGTTTTAGTTTTCTCCACCAAACCTCCTTCCAGTCGAACACATTTTTCCAATCCTCTTCTTAAATTTAAAAATAATTTACATAGCCATTGTGGAGTAATCTCTGAACAAGCTTGTCTTATCCAATAATTCATTAGGTCATCCAAATCTTTGGTTTGTTTTTATAAATTTTTTGTTTTATAAAACCCCAAAAGTAAAAATCCATAGTTTAATTTAGATTGCTTTGCAATTAACCACACATTACATTACATTAACATTAACAATAAGTTTAACAACTTAATATTTATAATTCATTACCTACACTTTTTGTACGTTAATTATTATTTTTACTATGGCCGCAATTAAAAGTGTTTATATAATTTATAGTGCCTATATTTTTTCTTTGTCCGATTGATACTTGTTTTCACTTTCATGGCAATCTTTGACCTGCTTATTATAAATTTTATTTGTCTGATTTTTCGAAGTTTGGCACCACATAAAAAACACTAAATAGACATTTGTTGTTCGAATTTGGTATGTGGGTATTTTGATGGGTGTTGAATAGCCTGGTAATATTATCTTTTTGATAAAAAATTGCCTAATACCACTTTCTGGAAAAATGACCCTTTTAAAAATCGTAGTAGGCTATGCTTTAGTTACATCAATAAAATGATTAGTAGAATATAACCTCTCTTCAGGATACTATTTGTAAAAAAAATGGCTTGCGGAAAGTCCACAGCCTTCTCACATTTCCAGAGGTGTTAACCTGAAAAACAGTACATACTGTATACACTCAAAAATTTCACACTCGTAGAGAAATTTATTTCTTGATTATATATGGGACGATCCACATCAAAACAATTAAGCCAGTGCCCAAAATTTGAGAGCACCTACGAAGATGGTTTTCGGCTTAAAAAATTCGTCTTTCCAAGTAGGTACTTTATGATGCTAATTGGCAGAATTGAAAAATTCAAGATGGCGGACATAATATGGCGCCTAGAAGTATGAGAAAAACAAAGAATCGTCCGATAAACTTCTCACAGTAATCAGATTAACCACAAATTCATACCCAAAAAGTCTGAACAGGTGCCCTTGACATCGTTGGACATGAGTATGGAGTTACTTTTCAAAAATTCAAGATGGAGAATTTCATATAGTGACTTGTAAGGCTAGAAAGTCTGAAATCGTCATTCAAAGGGAAGCGAACTGTCGATTTCCCCCGTAAACCTTATCTGAACAGATATTTCGCATGTTTTTCAGGTCGCTGGAACATGACGTTGAGTTTGTTTGATGGTATAATATCATATATCGATTCTAACCTTAAAAATATTTGAAAAATCTCAATTTTTCGTTGATATAGCGAGCTAAACCTCAAAAGAATAGACAATTTTCATGTTTTTGGGGTCGCTGAAAAATGATAATGAGTTTTTTTGATGGTATCATATCATACAATGATCCTAACCTCAAAAGTATTTGAGAAATCTCGATTTTTTGTTGATATAAACATTAAAAGAATAGACAATTTTCATGTTTCTATGGTCACTAAAATGTTTAATGAAGACGATTCGATACTGTGGTGTTTTTTCCAGTTAATTATTTGGCAAAAAAGCCATTTTTCTAATCTATAGTCAAATAAATGTCATCTAGAATAGCTTTTCATTATAAACGTCATTAAGAGATGTACCCAGTAAATATTCCGTGACTCCCGATCAATTTGTGATAATTTCAACAATTGAGATAGGATCCTTCAGTGAGCAGGCGTTAGAATAATAATAATAAAATAATTAACTGGAAAAAAACACCACAATATCGAATCGTCTCCATTTCACATTTTAGTGACCATAGAAACATGAAAATTGTCTATTCTTTTAAAGTTTAGCTCTATATCAACAAAAAATCGAGATTTCTCAAATACTTTTGAGGTTAGGATCAGTGTATGATAT